GAGTGCATTGCACCGCCCAAGCTATTCGACACGCGCTACCCACCAAGCGACAAGACGTTGCCAGGCCGACCGCGACAGCCCATTGACCTACAGCCCCAAGCATCCCGACTGCGAGGTCCGCTCACGCACGGTGATACAGAACGCATTTTTACAGACGACAGCACAAACCCAATGTCGCGGCAGAACCTATCACCGAAAACACATCCTATGACGCCTTCATCCCCAAGCGCTTCGGCGAGGCACGCGCAGCTGATCATATTGTCCTCGCCGATGATGACGCCGCCAGCAGGCGGGGAGACAAGGGTGCCCTGGTTATCTTGGACATACATGGGCGTCATCATGGATGGCCTACCCGGCTATCCACATGGATGCCGCCATGATTAGGACGTCATTCCAGCAGTTCGTCGCCGCCAACTACGAGGTGAAGCGCGTGTGCGCGGACAGTTCTAGTGAGCTTGAAAAGAAAATTATCTTGGCGAAGGGCCCAACCAGATGCAGTTGCGAGTGCCGCAATTGTGAGTATCTTCTTCGATGGCGCTGTAGGGGTGTGCGGAAATCTGTGCGGTGGCCACGAAACGTGTGAGGGGTGTGCCGAAATCTGTGCGGCGGGCGCATGGGAGCGCAGCCACTGGGGCCTTCGCTGGAGCTCCCTATGGGGCCACGAAACGTATGAGGGGTGTGCCGAAATGGGTGCGGTGGGCGCATGGGAGCGCAGCCACTGGGGCCTTCGCTGGAGCTCCCTATGGGGCCACGAAACGTGTGAGGGGTGTGCCGAAATGGGTGCGGTGGGCGCATGGGAGCGCAGCCACTGGGGCCTTCGCTGGAGCTCCCTATGGGGCCACGAAGCGTGTGAGGGGTGTGCCGAAATGGGTGCGGTGGGCGCATGGGCGCAGCCACTGGGGCCTTCGCTGGAGCTCCCTATGGGGCCACGAAACGTGTGAGGGGTGTGCCGAAGTGGGTGCGGTGGGCGCATGGGAGCGCAGCCACTGGGGCCTTCGCTGGAGCTCCCTATGGGGCCACGAAACGTGTGAGGGGTGTGCCGAAATGGGTGCGGTGGGCGCATGGGAGCGCAGCCACTGGGGCCTTCGGTGGAGCTCCCTATGGGGCCACGAAACGTGTGAGGGGTGTGCCGAAATGGGTGCGGTGGGCGCATGGGAGCGCAGCCACTGGGGCCTTCGCTGGAGCTCCCTATGGGGCCACGAAACGTATGAGGGGTGTGCCGAAATGGGTGCGGTGGGCGCATGGGAGCGCAGCCACTGGGGCCTTCGCTGGAGCTCCCTATGGGGCCACGAAGCGTGTGAGGGGTGTGCCGAAATGGGTGCGGTGGGCGCATGGGAGCGCAGCCACTGGGGCCTTCGCTGGAGCTCCCTATGGGGCCACGAAACGTGTGAGGGGTGTGCAGACATGGGTGCGGTGGGCGCATGGGGGCGCAGCCACTGGGGCCTTCGGTGGAGCTCCCTATGGGGCGACGAAGCGTGTGAGGGGTGTGCCGAAATCTGTGCGGTGGGCGCATGGGAGCGCAGCCACTGGGGCCTTCGCTGGAGCTCCCTATGGCGCCACGAAGCGTATGAGGGGTGTGCCGAAATGGGTGCGGTGGGCGCATGGGAGCGCAGCCACTGGGGCCTTCGCTGGAGCTCCCTATGGGGCCACGAAGCGTGTGAGGGGTGTGCCGAAATGGGTGCGGTGGGCGCATGGGGGCGCAGCCACATGATGATGATGATGGTGATGATGATGATGCTGATGATGATGATGATGATGATGATGATGATGATGATTATGATGATGGTGATGATGCTGATGATGGCAGGAGGGAGGGGGCAGCGGGAGGAGGAGGAGTGAACGCGGGGCGTTGATTTTTCAAAACGAGGACCCAACATCACAGGATGGTTGGGGGAAAAAAACGCGTCGCCTCTTTGGGCGGCGACGTGACGCCGCCGCGCCACGCAGGCCACGCACCAACGGGTTTGTTGAACGCGCTGCGAATACCATCATCATGGGCATCAGCGCTCCGGGCGTCTGGCCTGGGATGTGAATGGTGGGGGGAGGCCATGCAGGCTTTCTGCTGTGGCCGAAATTTCACGTTTGTCTCCGATGGCGCGGCATCTACAGAACCTGCGCGGGCAGGCAAAACGCATGAAGTTCGATGTGGCGAAGCTTTTGGTGGACAGACAGTGCCCGTTGGATCTCGCATCCATGGGAAATGCTTCAATCCCGACCTCGACGAGGCCACGGGCAAGATCTCCGAGATTACGAGAGGGAATATTTATGGAATATCATCTTCACTCCTGGAGACGGCGGCCTGGTGAATCTGGTCATCGACGCAGCCGCGCGCGCCGAGGGCCTGGGCGGAGACCGCTGCCGCGTCCACCGCGCGGAGAATCTCGCGGCGCCCGTTAAGCTCGTCTTCCCCGTCAATGAAGGAGTCCGCGGTGTCGCAAGAGCCCTTCAGAAGGACTCTTGCGACACCGCGACCCAGACGCGCATGATGCCATCGCGCAACAGGCCGCTCGCCCGCTCGTCGAGGTCACCAAATCAGATCGGACGTTGATCTACCCATCTGAATGGGATGATCCCAGCTGCCAGCCGGGCGAAAAGCTCGCGCGGACCCAGCAGGTGCCCGGCGGCGCCGCAGACGCGCCAGAACCTGACTACTGGGAGATGCGCGGGGGCGCCATCATCCGGCACGTGAGCGCGCCCCGGGCCAAGATCTTTCGTCCCGCCTACGACGTGGTCGACATGCCAGTCCCCGTGGCTAAATTCGACGTCTCACGGAGTTTCGAGACCGCGTCCTTGTTCGTAGGTGGGGCAACTTCCGCGACGTGTGGGGTGGCGTCAGTGCTGCGGATCATCGTGAAACAAGTGAATCACGGACCGGACTTATACGCTTTTACAAGAAGCCTGAAGTGACGTCCAACGGCCAGATGCGGATGCGCGGTCGACGGGCCAACGCTCAGACCGTTAAGCGCCCCGATCATGTCTTACCTGAGGTTTGTGCATCTATGTCTCGTAAACAGCGCGCTGACAAACTCAACGATGCATATGACATTACGCGAGCACGTGGCGCACGACAGCGAGCCGCCCTGCGTGCATGGACACGGGGCGACAAACAGGCACGCCGATCTTTTATTACGGAGAGGGTGGGCCTCCATGGGACACCGAGGATCGACGCGTCACTCGCGACGCCGTGATTTGCGCCGTCGTCTGGGATGAGGGCGCCAGGGGCGTCGCAGACAAGAAAATACTGCATGCTACCATACATGGCGGATCACGTGACGTTGCCACGATTTTGTACGACCGACCCAGCACCGACCATATTGAACATGCTGCTGAAGCCGCTGGCGTTGCTCGGGCGCTGCCACTCTTACACAATGAGTCGCGCCAGTCGGGGACAATTGCCGACAGTGTCACGCCTGCCCGACGGCGTTGGTAGCAAGACCCGCGGAGACAAGATGACTCCATCCTTATTGGGTGCTGTCATTGTCACTTGTAACATGAATAAACGTGAAGTTGCTGCTGGGCCACGATCACAACCTGTCTTGCGGAAAGGGCATGGCCGTCTTGTAAGCATAAACGCTGGGCCGATCGAGACTGTTGCGGAGCACGACAAGTTCGAAGCCGAAGCTAGACGCAATGGCAATATATTTCAAGTCGCCAGCATCCTGGAGCTACCTGCCATCAAACATAAAGAAGTCGCACCATAATTCCAGAAGTTCAAAGGTAGAGTCGTGGTCCAGGCCCACGCGACGAAAGACGAATGGGGGCCTGGTTTCAGGAGGAGGAGGAGGAGGAGGAGGAGGAGGAGGAGGAGGAGGAGGAGGAGGAGGACGAGGAGGAGGAGGAGGAGGAGGAGGAGGGTGGACGGCGAATGCGACGGCGGCGGCGACGACAACATTCGCAAACGACGGTGCCGACGACGAAGGCTGCATCGTCGACGACGAGAACGGGGCCAAAGGACCAGTTCAGGGCAGTGGCGGAGGCGGTGCCGATTCCCCGATGGACCAGCGGACCACGTGGCGCAAGCGGTGGGGTACATCTTCGACATACTGAAGTGCAGCGTCGTGGTGAGCGAAAATTGCTGCGCCTCTGCATCCTGGGCGCTGGTTCAATGGGTCCGAGGAAATCGGCATGTTTTCTGAAACGCGGGGCGGGCTGAAACGAACGTTCCTCGCGCTCCATCTAAGCAGAACCAAGCAATGCGTCTGCGACAACGACGACGGCGAAACCGTAATCGGATTATCAGTCTTTCATCCAGCAATGCGCTGGGTCACTCGGGAGGTACCCGAGTCGCACCACAATTTTTGAAGTGAGGGACAGATCTATGAGGCATGCAAAACCACTGACTACAGAACACGGGCCCTGTTTGGGCGTTGTCGTTCCTTCGTGCCCACCCCAGTTCCATCCTGGATTATCCTGGACCAAACCTCCTGCTCTTCCTCCCCTCTTTTCCCTCCCAGCCTGGTCTCCCCTCCCCCCCGTTTTGCTCCTGCTCTCCCTCCGCCTCCTGTCCCTCCCCCCCTCCCGCGGCACTGCCGCGTCGCGGCGGGGCCGCTCTGAAAAGGGGGGAAGGAGGAGGAGGAGGAGGAGGAGGAGGAGGAGGAGGAGGAGGAGGAGGAGGAGGAGGAGGAGGAGGAGGAGGAGGAGGAGGAGGAGGAGGAGGAGGAGGAGGAGGAGGAGGAGAGGAGGAGGAGGAGGAGGAGGAGGAGGAGGAGGAGGAGGAGGGGAGGAGGACGTCCGCTTGCTTGGTGGGGTCTATCTTGCCCCCCCCGAAACAAGGACGGAGTGAAGACCCCGAGGCTGGTCAAAGAAGGGAAGGATCCGTCCACTAACCGAGTAGTGGGCATAAGCTTCCGCCTCACCATCATTCACATGCATTGTTTCTTTTTGAAACCCTGTGCGTCTTGGTTCATCTGGAAGTTGACGTTCCGCTGCTTGAAGGAGCTTGAAGGAGGAGGGGGGACGATGACGACGACGAGGACGAGGGCGTCGTCGATCCCGCGCAGGCCGCATCCGGCAAAGGCCGAGGCGGCCCCGGAAGCGGGCCGCGGGAGCAGAAGGGCAAAGGCGGCAAGGCCGTCGCCGTCTTAGTGGTCGTGGTCGTCGTCGTGGTTTTCGTCGTGGAGGTGGTCGTCGTCGTCGTCGTCGTCGTCGTCGTCGTCGTCGTCGTGGTCGTCGTCGTGGTCTTTGTGGTCGTCGTCGTGGTCGTTGCGGTCGTCGTCGTTGTCCTCGTGGTCGTCGTGCTCGTCGTCGTCGTGATCTTCGTGGTCGTGGGCGTGGGGATCGTTGGTGTTGTGGCCGTGGTCGTGGCCTTCGTCGTCGTCGTCTCCCTGGTCGACGTTTTCCTCGTGCTCGTTGTCGTCGTCGTGTTCGTTGTCATCGTCGTTATTGTCGTGGTCATCGTTGTCCTCGTCGTCCTCGTGGTCGTCGTCATCGTCTTCTTTCTTTCCCAAGGGAGTGAGGTTGGAGGGAGGGAGGGGGACGAGGAGGGAGGTGGAGGACACACACAGGGAGGAGGAGGAGGAGAAGGAGGAGGAGGAGGAGAAGGAGGAGGAGGAGGCGGAGGAGGAGGAGCGAGGAGCGAGGAGGGAGAAGGGAGGAGGGAGGAGGGAGGAGGGAGGGAGGAGGAGGAGGGAGGAGGAGGGAGGGGGGGGGAGGGAGGAGGCATGGAAGGGATAACATGGGAAGGAAATTTGTCGTATCTACGACTTTCCTCTTCCTTTTTCCTCCATTTCCTTGAGGTTCGGGACGGCGACGACTCCAATGACGATAAAGACGACGACGACGGCGGCGGCGACGACGACTCAAACGGAAAAGCGTTCACAGAGGCCGAAGGGTCGGTGGATTTATGTTGTGCGCGAGTGCCCCTGGCTCGAATAGTCCTGGTGATTGAATGCGGAGCATGAGTTGGAAGATCAATGTCATGGGCAGGACGAGGAGAGAACCAGGAGAAGGAAGCTAAGGAGGAGCAGGAATGATGATGATGATGATGATGATGATGATGATGATGATGATGATGATGATGATGATGATGATGGTAATGCTGATCAGGATGAGACAAATGATCATGGTTATGATAATGAGTATGCTGATGATGACTTTGCTCCTGCTGCTGCTGACGATGATGGAGTTGACGATGCTAAATATGCTTTTGCTGATGGTGCCGAAGCTGATGCTGCTGATGATGGTGATGATGATATGATGATGATGATGATGATGATGATGATGATGATGATGATGATGATGATGATGATGATGATGATGATGATGATGATGATGATGGTGATGGTGATGGTGATGCTGATGATGATGATGCTGCTGATGCTGATGATGATGATGATGATGATGGTGATGGTGATGGTGATGGTGAGGGTGATGATGGTGACGGTGTTGATGGCGATGCTGATGGTGGTGGTTCTGGTGATCATGGTGACGGTGTTGATGACGATGACGATGATGACGATGATGATGATGACGATGATAACGATGATAACGGTGATGACGATGAATAATAATAAGGATACTATGAGGATGACTAATGATTTTGAAACGTCATATCAATAATACTAGTATAACAGTGTTGGTGATGATGATGATGATGATGATGGTGGTGGTGATGATGATGATGGCGATGATGATGATGATGGTGATGATGATGATGAGGATGATGATACTGATGGTGATGATGTTGATGATGATGCTGCTGATGATGATGATGTTGATGATGATGCTGATGATGCTGCTGATGATGATGATGGTGGTGGTGGTGGTGATGATGATGATGACGATGATGATGATGATGATGATGATGATGATGATGATGATGATGATGATGATGATGATGATGATGATGATGATTGCCATGGTGATGGTGGTGGTAGAGGTTGTGCGAGGAGGAGGAGGCGGGAGGAGGAGAAGGAGGAGGAGGAGACGGAGGAGGAAGAGGAGCAGGAACAGGAACAGGAACAGGAGCAGGAGGAGGAGGAGGAGGAGGAGGAGGAGGACGAGGAGGAGGATGAGGAGGAGGAGGAGGAGGAGGAGAGGTGGAAGAGAAGGAGGGCCAAGTGCACCGGGCCAGGCCAACGCGCAGCACCCTGGCAAAGGGGACGCCTCCGCTGGCGGCGGAGAGGAGCAGACGCCTCCGGCAGGCAAGGCTGGCAAGGCCGGCAAGGCCGGCGAGGCGGGTAAGGCGGGCAAGGCGGGCAATGGCGGCAAGGCGGGCAAGGCCGGCGAGGCCTGCAAAGCTGGCAAGGTCGGCAAGGCCGGCAAGGCTAGCGAGGCGGGCAAGGCGGGCAAGACCGCCAAGGCCGGCAAGGCCGGCGACGAAGGCGATGCCAGGCCCAAGGGCAAGGGCAAGGGCGGCGGCAAGGGCAAGGCCGCCCGAGGGCCTCCAGAGGCCGGCCAGCCTGAGACCAGCGGGGGCGGTCAGGTCGCATAGCCCAGCCTGTCCGTCCCCTCCGCTTGCTGCCATTCGCAGAAGGAAAGACAGCATCAACATAAACATTCAGAGCTCCGCGCGGATTTCCTGGATCGGCGCCTGGGGCCTTCCTGGCGGCGCCTCTGGCGCCGCCCTTGGCGCGCTTCTCGCGAGGGGATCCACGAAATCCGCACGGACCTCCAACAGTTTATGTTTATGTAGTGCTGTTTTCTTCTACTTGTTTCTCGTCGTTTTCTTCTTTTCTTTCGCCTATTCAGTCTTGCTTCGCATCATGTTACAATTCAGCAATACGAATGCTACTCTGCCTCCTCCCCTAAAGTTGTCCTGAATATTTTGCTTGTTTTTAAACATTCCGATTGTTCCCTAGCTAGGCTCTGCCTAGAAGGGTTCTTACTTTATAAGCTTAAAGGGCCGGGCAGTGTTCCTCGCCCCGGGCGGTTCCCCCGGCATCCACCCCGCGGTTCCCCCAGTGACGTTCCCTTAGCTTAGCGTTGCTTATCTCATTTTAGCTTAGCCTAGCTTAACTTAGCTTAGCTTAGCTTAGCTTAGCCTAGCTTAGCCTAGCTTAGCTTAGCTTCGCTTAGCTTAGCTTAGCTTAGCCTAGCTTAGCTTAGCTTAGCTTAGCATAGCTGAGCTCACCTTAGCTTAGCTTAGCGCAGCGCAGCATTAGCACAGCATAGCCTAGCATAGCATATCATAGCGTAGCATAGCATAGCATAGCATGCAATGTCAGCATAGCATATCACAGCATAGCGCAGCATAGCACAGTATAGCATAACATAGCATTGCTTAGCATAGCACAGCGCAGCATATCATAGCATAGCACAGCACAACATGTCATAGCATAGCATAGCATAGCATAGCATAGCATTGCGCATCATAACATAGCATAGCACAGCGCAGCAACTCATATCATAGCATAGCCTAGCATACCATAGCATAGCGCCGCATAGCATATCATAGCATAGCGCAGCATAGCATAGCATATCATAACATAGTGCAGCATAGTATAGTATAGCAAAGCCTAGCATAACACAGCGCAGCCGAGCGTACCCTAGCATATCATAGCATATCATAGTGCAGCATAGCGCAGCATAGCAAAGCATAACAACGCATATCATAGCACATCATAGCGCAGCATCGCATAACATATCATAGCATAAGCAACAACAACAGCAAAAGCAACAGCGAAGGCAAGGCACTGCAAAACAAAAGCAACATCAATGCGAACGTGTAGATGTATATGTAGATGTATGTGTAGATGTGGATGTAGGTGTAGATGTAGATGTAGATGTAGGTGTAGCTGTAGGTGTAGATGTAGATGTAGATGTGAGTCTCGCTGTTGATGTTGATGTAGATGTAGGTGTAGATGTTAATGTAGCTGTCGGTGTAGATGTAGATGTTGCTTTCCTAGATGCTCCAACTCCTAGGTAGGGTCGCACTGGAATAGCATGTTCGGTGTTTCAAGATGGTGCTCCCGCTGCAGCGTGGGCCTTATTTTCGGATCGGCGCTTTGCTCCCGTCGTTCAGCATGGCGCTCTCGTCCCAGCGCGGGCCACTTTTCTGGATCCGAGTTTCGTTTCATGGTGGTCCCCCCTTATTTCCCTTCCTGCGCCTTCCCCTGGTCCTCCTGTTCCTTCCGCTCCTTCCACTGCAGGTCTTGCTGCTGCTGTTCGTCTCGACCCAGCGCGGGCCACTTTTCTGAATCCGCGTCTTTCTTCATCCTTGTCGCCCCCCTCATTTCCCCTCCTCCGCCTTCTCCTGGTCCTTCTCTTCCTCCCTGTCCTTCCGCTTTAGTTCCAGCTGCTGCTGTTCGTCTTCATCCTTTCCTCGTGCCCATCATCCTGCTCACCCGCCACCTCCTCCTCCTGTGCGCGCAGCTCCCCCTGTCTTTCTGATAGCGCATAACACGAAGTGGTCTGTCTGTGGGAGTCGCAGGTCGGCTATGGCACGCGTCTGCGGATAACGAAACATCAGTCAGGTGGGGCGCGAGCGCACCTAGCTTGCCTTCCCCCTTCTCCTCCCCCCTCCCGTCCCTCCCCACCCTCCCCCACGCCGCAGCGTGGGCCTCATTTTAGGATCGGCGCTTTGCTCCCGTCGTTCAGAATGGCACCCGCCCCAGCGCGGGCCCCTTCCTGGATCCGAGTCCTTCCTCATCGTTGTCGTCCCCTGCTTTCCCCTCCTCCTCCTTCCGTGATCCTCCTGCTTCCGTTTCTTCCGCATCAGCCCTTGCTGCTTCTGTCCGTTGTCGTTTTCCTCCTTCCTCATCCTGTTTCTTTTCCTTCTGTTCGTCCTCCTGTTCATCCGCCACATCCTCCTCCTCCTCCTCCTCCTCCTTTGTGCGCAGCTCTCCTTTGGCCGATTGCGCATGACACGATAGGTTTCTGTTTGGAGTTCCGGGTCCGCCAAAACACACGTATTCAGACGGATAGAGAACAAGTCAACGCAATGGCAAGGGATTGGTGGGAGGAGTACTATGTCAGATATGGTATATGGCGCGAGCGCACCTAGCTTGCCTTCCCCCCTCTCCACCCCCCATCCCCCTGTCCCTTCCCTTCCTTCCCTCCCCTCGCTCCTTTCTCTCCTCCTCACCTTATTATATTCCTTCCCCCCTTCCAGCCCCCACCCCTCGTTCTCTCCTCTCCTCCCTCCCTCCTCCTTCTCACCCTCTTCCTCCTGCTGCTCCTGCTCCACTTCTCCGTCCACAGCTCGCACGATGCGAGCGAGGGAGGGAGTTGGGTCGTGCGTGCGAAAGCGTGTGGAGAGAAGGAGGTATAGGATGAAGAATAGTAGGAGGAGGAGGAGGATGAGGAGGGAGGAGGAGGGAGGAGTGAGGAGGGATTATGATGATGCAGCGTATGATGATGACGGTGATCATGGTCATGGTGGTGATGATGCTGCTGCTGATGATGGTGATGGTCATCATGCTGGTTATGATGCTGATGCTGATACTGATGCTGGGCTGCTGCTGTTGCTGCTGCTGATGATGGTGATGATGATGTGATGATAATGGTGACGACGGTAATGCTGATGGTGATGATGATACTGATGATACTGATGACGACGATGATGATGTGGTGGTGATGATGTTGATGTTGATGATGTTGATGATGGGGTTGATGATGATGATGACGATGATGATGATGATGATGATGATGATGATGATGGTGATGATGATGATGATGATGATGATGATGATGATGATGATGATGATGATGATGATGATGATGTCGTGATTGTGGTTGTTGTTGCTGTTGCTGTTGGTGGTGTTGACGGTGTTGCTGCTGATGGTGTTGGTGGTGGTGGTGGTGTTGGAGCTTGTGTTGTTGTTGTTGTTGTTGTTCCCTACCTAGGCTCTGCCTAGAATGGTTCTTCCTCTCTTGGCTTCAAGGGCCGGGCAGTGGGAACCGGCCCGGGCGGTTCCCCCAGTATCCGCCCCGCGGTTCCCCCAGTTACGTCCCCTTAGCTTAGCGTTGCTTGTCTCATCTTAGCTTAGCTTATTTCATCTTAGCTAAGCTTAGCTTCATCTTAGCTCAGGTTTATCTTAGCTGAGCTTACCTTCATCTTAGCTTCGCTGAGCTTTAGCATAGCAGAGCACAGCATAGCAAAGCATAGCGAAGCATAGCATAGCGTAGCATAGCATATTAGCATGGGTATAATTCCCTACCTAGGCTCTGTCTAGAGGGTTAGCTTAGCTTAGCTTAGCATAGCATAGCGCAGCGCTGCATTAGCATAGCATAGCATAGCATAACATAGCCAAGCATAGCATAGCAAATCATAGCATGGCGCAGCATAGCATAGCATAGCATAGCATAGCATAGCATAGCATACCATTGCGCAGCTTAGCATAGCATATCATAGCATAGCTTAGCATAACCCAGCGCAGCATGACATAGCATAGCTTACTATCACATAGCATAGCACAGCATAGCATTGCATATCGCAGCATAGCATAGCATAGCATAGCAAAACATATCATAGCATATCATAGCATATCATAGCGCATAATAGCATGGCATAGCATAGCATAGCATAGCAACTAAATGCGGCTTTCCTAGGGGCTCCAACTTCTAGGTAGGGTCGCACTGGGGTAATTGTTTGTGTTGGTGTTGGTGTTGTTGATGCTGTTGCTGCTGTTGTTGATGGAGATGATGGTGGTGGTGATGGTTGTGATGATGGTTATGATGATGGTGCTGATGCTGATGCTGATGCTGCTGCTTCTGATGCTGATGCTGCTGATGCTGATTATGATGATGATGCTGATGCTGATGCTGCTGATGATATCGATGAGGATGATGATGATGATGATGATGATGATGATGATGATGATGATGATGATGATGATGATGATGATGATGATGATGATGATGATGATGGTGGTGGTGGTGGTGGTGGTGGTGGTGGTGGTGGTAATGATGATGGCTGCTGGCTTTGACGACGATGGCGACGACGATTACGATGATGATGATGATGATGCTGATGATGATGCTGATGATGATGCTGCTGCTGCTGCTGCTGATGATGATGATGATGATGATGATGATGATGATGATGATGATGATGATGGGTCCTGGGCCAGGAGGTTCGGCTGCTCCGTCCTGACGAAGATTTGGCCGCGTACACCCTGCGCCACGAACGTGGCACAGTGGCGGGGGCCCCCACTGGCCGTTTGGAGCTTGCTGTTCGTTCTCCGGCGGAGGCCCGCCACGTGCATGAGTTGCTTCATGGACGTGGCCTTCAGCTGGGAGTCGACTTGGTCTCTCTGGAGGTGCAGCTCACGCCGCTCGCCGACAGGCCGGGAAACGGCCGCCGGTGCTAGGCGACCCAGCCGGCCTGCATCGGAGCCTAGTCGAGGCTGGCGGACTTCGTGTCATCTTCGTCCGCTTTTGAGTGCGACGGGTGGCATCGGCTTCCAACGGAGAACGCGCGGGCCCAGCGGCGACCCTGCCGCCAGCGGCCCCCCTGCGGCCGTGCCGCAGTCGCCACCACCACCGCTGCCACCTCGGTTGACGCAGCCGCGAGTGGACAATGACATGGGGTCATGCGCTGGTGTCTTCTGGGTGGCGACTTGGAACGCCCAGGGGCTCTTGGCAGTGCGCTCGCAGACGCAGCGTGACAAGGCAGCCCATGGCCAGCGCCTTGTGCGAGATCACGATGTTGTCATCGTCACAGAGACGCACTGGACGCCTGAAGTTGAGGCGCTCACCTCCCATGGCGGCCAGGCCTACTTCGAGGAGTTCTCCGCCTTCTGGGTGCATGGTTCCGCCGCGAAG